TTACCAGAAACATACATAGATGAACGCGATCCATTTCATCTCCTTCCAAACTTAGTATGGTGTCTAAGATCTCCAACTCCTTGATGGTCAGGGTTCATTCAAATGGTTGAAGATGGACCTCACCCTGGGAAATCGTCTTTCACATTCTTGCCTATTTATTGATCTCAACCCGTCAGATATGTCATGTATATATTCAACTTTTCATTATATCAACAATCTAGCCAGAAAATATAATGTGACACCTACACTGACTTTCGATCAGCCCTTATACTGGAAGGCAAAAATTATTGTAGCCAATGAACATGATGACATTTACAATATTTTCTTGAGACTAGGTGGTTTCCATATCCAATTAAGTTTTCTTGGAAGCATCGGGCATCTTATGGAAGGTTCTGGCCTTAAGGAACTGTTGGAATGTGTATATGCACCAAATGCTTTTACTAATATGATAAGTGGTAAAGCCGTCTCCCGAGCCATTCGAGGAAACATGCTGGTGGATAAAGTGTTACATGCTTTGGTGATAGAGCGCATTTACAGCGTCACTGTGACCGATGAAGACTTTCGCTCTGACAATGGAGAGACAAATAATATAACTCCATTACCATTGTTGAATTATATGACCGTATTCAAGTGTCAAATTCCTTAAATTCACTACATCACGCTACAGTGTTAAAGAGAATCCAAGGAAACATCAAAAGCTAAAAGCTCATATTCACACGCTACAGAAAATGCTTCCTTACTTTGCTGCAAGTGGCCATAACAACTACACCATATCAGTGAACTTGTATTTGCAAGATGCTATAAATCTCACTACATCTAAACCAGAAGTATTCAATTTCTTTTCCAATGGGCACCATTTCCTTAGGCGCAGTGACAGATATTGGGCTGGTCTTTCTACAGATTTGATCATAGAACAAACTTTAATGCGAAGCTGTAAAACTACAGGAGGTATGACCCGTGGAAGAGGAATGACAGAACATCAACGGGCACATTGGCTTTTATCCATGCCAGCATGTGCTGAAATCAATGTTGCAATGCAAGATTTACTTGGAATTGACTTTCAGACCAGTTAACAACACAAAGAGTGTTCTGTTGCTAGAATGGCTAGAGATCAACTGGATTCACAAAAATTGTTATCTTTTCTAAAAACTAGGAATCCTTTTGATGAAATAGAATCATTACGGAATATTGAATCGGGTGTTTTAGCCTCAGAAAAGGTAAATGCAGATAGTTCATTGGAACTTGGAAATAGAATCATCGAGACGATGGAAAACCAAAGTCCTCTGACGTACACATTCAAACGGACATGGCAAGCAGTCACACTAGCAGCAGACACGCATACACTTAAAATTAACGGTGAAAATGTACATATTGACCCACAATTACTCTTTCAGTGATTATTGACGGGAGCAAATGTACAAGACGAGTCATTAGAATTGTTTGAATACGAGTTGTGTACATATCCGCCATCATTGTGTACATATCCGCCATCATTGTTTGATGATAGTGGTCTAATGAGACTAGCAAAAAAAGTGCTCTCACCGATGCTCTCTGGGGCCTGTGTAATATCACAGACATCTCTTTACCAACATCTCCAATACAATATGTTCTGGATGGTGGATCTTTAATCCACAAAATTCCTTGGAGCAGTGTTTGTTCTTTTCAATACATTTGCAATTCCTATGTAGGATATTTGCGGAAACGATATACCACTTCAACCATTGTATTTGATGGTTATCCGGCATGTTCAATGAAGGAAAGTACCCACAGTCGAAGAACACATGGTATCATTGGGAGATCTGTGCTGTTCACACCAGACATCCTATTACGATCAAAGAAAGAACAAATCCTATCAAACACAGAAAACAAAGTTAACTTTATTAAAATGCTGCAAAATATTTTAGAAAAAAACGGGTACTCTACACTCATTGCAGATGATGACGCTGACACTCTTATTGTAAGAACTGCGATTGAAAAAGCAAAAGACACTTGCACAGTTTTGGTTGATGAGGATACTGATCTCTTAGTGTTGTTGTGCCATTTGACTCCAATGGACTCAAATAATATCTACTTCAAAAGTGAACAAAAACAGCCAGCAAGCCCGTAAGGATATGGGATATTCATAAAACAAAGGCCGCACTTGGACAGTCACTCTGCAAACTCTTACCAGTAATTCACGCACTTACTGGATGTGATACGACTTCAAGGCTACACAGAATCGGAAAAAATATAGTGCTGAAGAAAGCAATTAAAAATGAAAGTCTGTGACAGCATTTGGAAGTATTTTGTGCACAGTCCTCTCAAGATGACATCATCAAAGCCGGAGAAGGGGCGATAAAATCAGCATTATACAAAGGAATGCCACACGAGGAGTTAAATATATTGAGATTTAGAATGTTTACCTCCAAAACAGCTAGCAGCAAAACATCCGCTGTGGTGGTAACCAGTCTCCCGCCTACATCAAATGCTGCAAAATATTACAGTCTTCGTACATACCAGCAAGTACAAATGTGGATGAACAACTGTTATTTGGATCCAACAGAATAGGGATGGGAGGGAGAGAGAGAGACTAACATATGGTTTAATTTTATTTCAATAATTCGCTTGCGCATAGGGGTCTTTAGCAGTGGGAGGTATGAATTGTGCTATGGCCTGCACAGAATGCAACGGAGTCAGCTGTTTGAATTCCTCACCAATCGACAACGAGGTCGATGAAGATGAACCGGAATAGTTAACTCTATTAGGTTGTTATATGATGTTTATTTCTGACTTTAAGGTACATCTAATAGAAATTAATGTGAATTTTTACAATTTGTGACCATGAAATGGCTTTCAATGAGATACAACATCTAAATATATTCTTTCCATGATTTGTATTGTGTTTCTTGATTTCATATAATTAAAAATATGCTAAAATATTTATTAACATTTCGAAAGCCACAATGTGCGAATCGAATATACACTTTTCAATATATGACCTTTAATAACTTTGAAAAAAAAAATACATTTCCAAACGTAGTACACTTCTACATTTTTAACAAATTATTCAGGACACATTGTACTTACAATATATCACTTTAAAAATTCTTGTCGGGTATGGCCTAATTTTGACGTAAAGTCCACAACCTTGGTATTACATACTTATGTGAAAGTTGAGCAGCCATTTTGTCAGGTAGTTTATGTCCATTTTGATGAAATCTGAACTCAATTGTCATTATGGTGTATCATAGATATATTAAAATGTCTTTTTAAATCGGATAAATATTGTAACCTCTAGAGGGTTCACAAGCTAAAAATGTGTTTTTTTCCATACAATCTGGGGGAATAATCTAGGAAGTTACAGTCTGATATGCACAAATATCAAAAGGAACTGAGATTTTTGGAATATAAACATATAATTTAAGTTTTATCAAAATGGGATAAAAATTGTGACCTCTAGAGGGTCCACACCTTGGCATCACATACTTTTACACTATTTGCGAACCAGGAGCAGCCATTTTGTCGGGCAGTTTCAATTTCCACGAAATTCAAACTGTGATACTTTAGAATGGTTTTATAAATGTGGGCATATAAAAATATATATGAATATATTTAGCAAAATATAACAAACTACAGTGCACTCTGTCACATCCGACATCGTACAGGATCGTTACAATATGTTGGATTCCGCAGAGTGTCTGAATACCCAGTTTTCTCAAAACCAGATATATTTGCATTCGAAAACCGGAAGTGTTATTATAATGTAGCTTTGAACATAGAACTTCGAATCACCAGAATAAAATAAAACCAAGTACGAACAATCCAAACCATTAGACAAAATTCGAAGTCCTAAAAAAACGGTATAGGCAAAATAGTGTAATAAGGCAAAAAGTTATTCCCTTTAAAAATCATAAACCTTTCTGTACATTCAAAATTTTATTACATTAATTTTTATTTCATTTAACATGCGGAGGCATATTGAATAGGTCAAGTCTGTCGTAAATTTATCTTCTTCGCCGTCTTCAGTTGATCGCACTCTTGTCTTTGCTATCACGTGTTCATTGGGCGTACTCGATTGAACGTTCCGGAATTGAATTATCTCAATCCCAAAAATAGTGACAATCAAGTGAAAATGGGTACTTCGGGCTACAACGCATGCGTCGACTGGATATATAAATATCTTATCCAACCATGCAGCTGAAACCTGTTCGTCGTGTTTAATTACATCACAATTCTACTCACAAAACCTCCGCCATCGGGACTGAGAGAACTGTGACAGGACTGAATTCTGCGTCACTCGATTGCAATTCTGTCAATTCGGGACGTTCCGGACTGTGAATCGAGCATCCCCAGGTCATCGTCACAGGGTTCGAAGAGATCCGTTGGGTGACCAAACTTATGGGTTATTCTGGTTCAATCGGCATGCGCAACGAATGTTTCCAACAGGTGCTAGGAATATTTTTACGACTGTGAATTCGGGGGAAAATTCGTGGATATTCTTGAGTATTTGTCACAACTGTCGTACAAGAGATTAAAATTATCAAAGTGATCAACAAAGACCCACGGTAGCGAGTTTTAATCTCACAGATAATTGATTGGTGATTGCTTGTTAATCTTTTGTGGCTTCACACCCATCCAGTTTTAATCTCACGGATAATTGATCGGGAAGTGTTTGCTTCACACCCACCGATTGAAGGCCGGATTATACGGTGTCGATTCAATGGAAATCGTATGACGGGACGGCTGATTGATGTCGTAATCCTGAACGTACAGAGGTTGAATTACCCAGAGATGTTTTGGCTGAAGTAATAAGGAAATAAATCGGGACATGGTGTCAGATGTAACAGAGTGCTGGAGTGATCAGAGGTCGGATGTGACAGAGTGCACTGTAATTGTAACATGTGTTAAACAAATGACTGTCATATTACTCCAAAATATAAGTGAATGGCTCAATCCAGCCATGTTGGGACTATTTGATATCCAAAGCGATGTAGTGTTTTTAAAAGGAAATATACAAGTACCGTTGGTAGGTATATATGTACCTTGATTTACCCTGTGTTGTTATAACATCAATATTATCTCTCTTACTTTCTTCACCTGTAAAACATAAAAATACCTTTTACTTCAACATACATTAACATACATGTGATCTTGTCCAGTCCCTTATACACCCAACATGCTAAATCTAAAATTGTCACCAAATTCCATTCATCTATCATGAACTCTGTACCAAGCTTTAAAGAAAACAGAAAACATATGAACAGAAAATAATTTGTTTTTATGCCCCAATGAACAATTTTACCTAGTTCTCCACTGAGAACTTTGTCCTGTATTGAAAGATGTCTCTTTATCCCCCATTACAATCCCACCAAGTTTTAAAACAATCCATTGCACCTTAATTATTATAATGTTCATAGGTTTTAACAGCTCTTTCTTATGTCACAATGTTAACTGTCTCATAAAACATTGACAAGATTTAATAAATTGGAAAGTAAATGGTAGGGTAACCTCAAAATATACCACTCAAATATTCTTCATAGGGTTCAACTTTATACCTCTATGAACAATCCCACCAAGTTTTAATAAATTCTATAAAAACGCTATTTTTCGTACAATCAGGGGCCATAATTCAGGAAGTTACGATTCAATATGTACGAAAATCCACAGGAACCCAGATATTTGGGTTATAAACATGCATTTCAAGTTTCATCAAAATCAGATGAAAATTGTCACCTCCAGAGGATCCACAACCCTGATACACAATATTTTGACACTATTTGCGAACGAGAGGCGGTCATTTTGTCCGTCAGTTTCGTCGTATTTTTATATTTGTGCAGGAGTCTATGCTAAGTGAATTAGTGAAAGGCTTGAAATGCCCTGAATGCAATAATGAGAATATAGAAATCTGTGTAATTAATAAAAAATTAGGACTTGTTGTATATTTGTATACACAATGCCATTCATGTGGATATGTTGTGAATGCAACATATTCAAGTCAGCGATTAGGGAATTCATCAAGTTCGCGAACAGCCATCATAATAAATAGATCGCTTGTTTTTGCGACATTGGACATGGGGGTGGGGTATGCTGGACTTGTACGTCTTTCGCGGCTTTTGGGAATGCCAAGCATGCATCCCAAGTCATATATAAACCATGTGAAAGAAATATCCGCTGTAGCAGAACATATTAAAGAATTTTTTTTTGCAAATGCTGCATGTATATTAAGAAAAGTTTATTTTGATTTGAACAATGAAATAGATATTGAAGGTGTAATGGACATCTCCGTCAGTTTTGATGGGACATGGCTTACTCGGAGACACTCCTCATTATATGGGATCAGTTTTGTCATCGACGCTTCTACTGGCCTTGTGTAAATTTTCATGTGGTGTCAGTTTTTTGCCACAAATGTGTTTATGCCAAAAATAGATTTGGTTCTTACTCAGTATGAAAATCATAAAGAAAAAGGCAACATAAATTTCAATGGTTCGTCTAATGCTATGGAAGTAGAGGCTGCAAAAGTTTTGTGCTCTTGTTCCGAAGCTATCCATGGTTTTAGATATGTAAATGTAATCAGTGACGGCGACGGCAAATATTTATGGCTCTTTTTGAGTTAAACCTGTATCAACAAAGAAGAGTGCGTAAACCACATTACAAAACGTATGGGAACTACTCTGCACAAACTGAGTACTGACGGTAAAAAGATAGGGAAAATGCTGGGGAGAAAAAGGTCATGGGCAACTGACATTAAGCACAATTAATAAACTCACAATATATTATGGAAAAGCTATTAGATCAAACATGGGTGACATAAAAGCGATGCAGAATGCTGTTTTCGCAAGTTTTTTTCATGCGGATACTGATCCGCATCACAGTAGGTGCCCTTTGGAAGATACCTCCTGGTGTTTTTACAACAGGAGTATTGCGAAGGGTGAAACTCCAGAGCCCCACATTGATAATGTGAGAACACCGTTAAATAGAAAAGTAGGAGAAGAAGTCTCCACAGTTTATCAATTCCTTGGTGGCACAGAACTTTTACAAAAGTGTTTACTAGGCAAAACGCAAAACATTAATGAAAGTCTGCACAATAAAGTTTGGCGTAAATGTCCAAAAATAAATTTTGTATTGAGACAAAGAATTAAAATTGCTGCTGCCACTGCATCAGCTGAATATTACCAAGGGCTAAAAGTTGAAGAAACATCTTTAACTGTTATGGGTATTCCTATTAGTGCCTCAAGCAAGAGACTTTGACATAATCTAGACAACAGCCGTGTTGCTGTCGGTCAAAAAAGTGCTCTATTGGCAACAAAATAAATTTTGTATTGAGACAAAGAATTAAAATTGCAGCTGCCACTGCATCAGCTGAATATTACCAAGGGCTAAAAGTTGAAGAAACATCTTTAACTGTTATGGGTATTCCTATTAGTGCCTCAAGCAAGAGACTTTGACATAATCTAGACAACAGCCGTGTTGCTGTCGGTCAAAAAAGTGCTCTATTGGCAACAAAAGAAGCCTGACTGTTATCTAAAATGGCTAAATCTCAAGCGCAACAGAGATTAATTGACGGTGAAGGCCCCACGTATGGGGCTGGAGCATTTTGAGACCAAAAGAAGAACATGTGTAATGCGAATTTTCAAGGCATCAAATAACCAGTGGCTGCCAGGCAGGATACGCCCACATTTTCGAGAAATGGATAGAGAACAAGCTAAAAAGAATCAAGAGCCATAATTCATGAAGTTACAATTCAATATGCGCAAATATAGACAGGAACCAAGATCTTTGCGTTTTAAACATGAATTTCAAGTTTCATCAAAATCGAATTAAAATTGTGACCTCTACAGGAGGGTTCACAACCTTGATATGCCATATTTTTACACTATACGCATACAAATGGCAGCCATTTTGTCCGGCAATTTTGGTCCGATTTTCACGAAATTCGAAATCGCCTTCCTTACGGTGTAATGGTGATATAATCAAACGTTTTTTTTAAATCGGATAATAATTGTGACCTCCAGAGGAACCACAAGCTAAAAACGTAATTTTTTGTACAATCAGAGGCCATAATTCATGAAGTTTCGATCCGATACATGCCATTATCGCAAAGCAGCCGAGATCTTTTGGGGATAAACCTATATTTCAAGGTTTCGTCAAAATCGGATAAGAATTGTGACCTGTAGAGAGTCCACAAACAATTGTGGACAGGCAGACGTCCGGACATACGGACGGACAGGGGCGACGACAATATACGTTCACATGAAAATGTGGGTGTATAAAAACGTAATTATCTCAGATTAGAGTTTTTCATTTTTGGTACACCATATCTCTGGCACTAATAAAGATAAATATTTTGATAACTTTTGAAATATTAATAACTGAAACTGCGTTCTGTCCAATTCTGTGGTAGATAATTGTTTATATATCCTGCAAATTTGGTGAAGATATCTTAATTAGTAACAGAGATATGATGTACCTTCGGTTTTCCATACTTTTTAAAAAAAAAATCTGTTAGTTCTCCCTTGTTTATTTCATTTTCTAACTACTTGTAACATTTTCAATTCAATAGTTTCATGAGTTGGCAGTTGGTACAATGGAACTTGATCTGTTTGAAGGGAGAAAACTAGATAACATAGCAGATTTTTTGTCATTGCTATATTTATTGTTAATAATATAGTTATGATTGTTGCATGATTTTCATAGACCTGTGTACATGTATCTACTTCATTGTATGTATTCCTTCTGAATTTTTTTTTTCTTATCAGCCTAGTGCTAACTTTAATATTTCGGTGTAAAAAAGTGCTATTGTCTTTGGGATGGTGTTTACCTTACGGCAAATGCTGTAGTATTTGAATAATAGCAGCTGTGGGTAACATTTTAACAGCAAAAGTATAAGATAGGTTGCCAGGCAACAAAACATACGCCCATAGCAGCTAAATCGTCCGAGCAGTCACATATTTATTCTTTTGAAGGTAATTAGGGGACTTCCAGGGATGTCACTAACTTTTCAAGTAACAGGAAATTTTGCTAAAGTAAGGGGCAGCAAATTTTTAGGGCCTCAGGCCTGAATCTGCGGGCAAACCGAAGGGTGGGGAGTGTGTTATGGCGTTAGGGGCATTTCGGGTCAATATTTTAAATGACAGAAAGTTTTTTTTAAAACATTTTGTGAAAATATACATAAAAAATCTATCCAAAAAAACTTTAATAATCCAAATAAGTGCTTTTCAGTCATATCTGAGTAAAGTCATTAGATAAGCCTTATTATAGAATTGCACGTCTACCAATTTTAAAACTGAAATCTGTGAATATTAGTTTAGGCTTTGCTAAAACTTATAAAATCGTAACAATTTGAAAAATATATAAAATATTTTTAATCTTCATGATACCAGATAAAAGGCAGGCTGCATTTATTCGGAATTAGCAAATTTCAGTCTGCAAAACCGATAAATCCCGTTTTCTAATTATGGGTGTAATCGCGTGAATTGAAATCCCTGGAAACGTGACATTTTCCCGCAAGTGCCTCCCACATAAACAGTAATAGCGCTTTTATTTCTATAACTTTTGAGTCCGACTATTTTCGTATATTGAGATCGATATCAAAGCATTATAATACAACCACTAGTAATCTAAAATCGCAGATTGAAAGTCAGCTAAATTTCAGTCAATCACTCAATGCCAATGGCTTCCGATTTCACGCTCAAGTCACGTAGCGTGAAACGTTTTCTGTTCACGGGAGAACTGTCAAAATCGTATAGATGTTTACTACTAGCCATGAGGAAAAATGACAGTAAGGGAACGGACCTTATACAGTCAGTACAAGTCTCTATTTTATTAGGTACGCTCATGTACCTATTGCTTACAATATACTTATAAGAATCATGAGGTCTATTTATACAACGGAAGTAAGGGGGTTACCTCCCTTTTTGAAAGTAAAACTAGCATTGGCATAATTATGAACATTTCCCGTGAGAAATAGCCTTCCGTGCGGGAGATCGGGAGAAAGGTCGTAAATCTTTGAGTATCACGGAAAAAACTGGTTAGTTGATACGTCTGTGTGCTTTGCGTTTAGGAATTAAATTAGTTTCAATTAATATAATGCCAAATTA